GGTAAGCCCAAAAAGCAAAATATTACAGGGAAGAAAAAAATCTGTTTCATTCTTTTAACAGTTTTACCACCTGCTTTATGTATTTTTTCCAGCTTTCTTATCAGCATTTAGAATTTAAATTTCGAATTAATATTTCCTGAGCACATGCGACTAATAGGCCCCTACCACAGATGAAGAAACTCCAATAAACAAGTTTAAAAAATATATATTTTGGGCGCGGTACATTTTAACAGCTGGCCAACAATACATTGAGTGTCCTGTTCCTGTGGGGAAGCTCAGCAATTGGTCAATCTAGTATTATTGGTGAACCTAAATTATTTCGAGATCCAGCCTGCAGGTTTTGATGCAGATAACAATTAAAGAGGTAATGTATCATATCATGTCACCTGGTTATGTGATGTTTCCTTCTTCGCAAGAGTATCTGGTCTACTGACCTGTCCCTGCTGTTTTATGCAAAAAAAATCTGAAATTATGCAAACTGAGCCCAAAAATGAGAAATTATGCGATTCTGTTAATTTTAACAAAAAATGATAAAGGAAAAAAAATCAGAAATTATGCAAAAAATATCAAATTTTGCTAAATTATGCGGGGTGCATAAAACCACGGGCACAGACCTTCTGAATGATCTAAATTATCTTGAAGGAGGAATAAAGTATTCACAATCCCACATACAGCAAAATGGGTGTTGCAGTGAAACAGAAAGCAAAAAATACCTCCTTAAGTCGGAGGCAAAACAAAAATTGAGCAAAATTAGTTTTAAAAAAATTTAATTCAGTTTTAGTTTTAGTAAGAGTTTTGCGTCATTTGCAATACAATGAATAAGGTCATCTAAGTGCCGAAGATTACAAGTATTACAAGAGAGTAACAGACACAAAAGAGGAGAAGGAGAGAGAAGGACAATAGCTTTTGTCAAGAAAGGAGGAGCAAACCCTAGCAGAGCACCCACCAACCACCCACAAATTTGATCCAGAAATTAAATGTATAATAGAATATAAACATTTAGAGAAAGAACTTCTCAAAATTGTTCAGAATAGTTTTTTATTTTTAAAAATATACCACTCAATAGATAAACAACAAGCAAGTTTAAGTACAAAAATAAAGTAAAACAGTCAAGTGCACGAGGCAAAACGGAGATCAATACTGCAATGATATGTATGCTTCATTCAAAGTAAATGTCCACTTCTCAATGTACAGGCAATTCTGTTTCAGTTTTATTAGATAGTAACTGCAGAATATCCTGTGCTTTCTGAAACATTGCCAAGTGGCCGGGCGTATATTATTTTGATATGTAATTGTAATGTGACAACCTTCAGTGCTGAAAGGTTGCTCACTTATAACCAACACAGCAGTGGAGAACAACATCAGCAAAAACACAAAGAGTTAGATGTACAAACAAGCTGGAAGTCTGCCTAGCTTTTCTTTGACCTGTGGAATTGACAAAAAGGACTTTCAAGGGTGAGGAGCAGTGCGAAATTTGAGACGTGATGTAGAGATGAAAGTGTAATGTCTAACAGTGAAAAGCTAATGTCTTTGGAAACATGAAAACAAGGCAAAAGGTGAACACCAACGCTTAAAAAAACACAACTAAACCCACTTCTGAAGGTTTCAATGAAGTCCAGTCACGAGAGCCTGGTACAAAGGACGACATTTGCAAAAATACGCCACGTCTAAGGTCCATTGTGGTGTACAAGTAAGGTTCTTCATCTCACACACTAAAGAAAAGACAAAGAGTTTGATTTCCATAGAGTTGGCTACTGGTGTCTGTGATGTTATGGCAAGGCTCTTCACCTTGCACGAAAGACGTGAATTTGATCGAAGAGTGGAGAAGACATTTCTTCCAGTACGATAGGCCTGTTTCCATCAAAAGTAGCAGTATCTCTATCACAGTACGCAGTATCTCGGTCTTTCTGTCCCCGAGGTTTTATGCACCCCACATAATTTGATCTTTTTTGCATAATTTCTGATTATTTTCCTTTATCATTCTTTGTTAAAATTAACAGAATCACATAATTTCACAATTTTGGGCTCATTTTGCATAATTTCAGAATTTTTCTTGCATAAAACGACGGGGACAGGTCTTTCTACTGGTGTGCACTGGCCCACTCGGCTAGGGTTGGCTCTAACGGGCAAGGTCAAAGTCGTCTACCTCCTACAGGATCCAAATCGCGTCGATGGTGTTATAATATTTATATAAAATGGATAATTGCAACCCGTAAACAGAATCCTTCCCTCCCTTCAGTATTTTGTCCCAAGTACCTAATTCACGAAGTGAACATAATTTGAAGATACAATTGTGGTAATGGTAATACTGTAAAATATACCGTTATGTACATGTACTAAAATTCAGACTGAATACTGTAGTTTATATATAGATATATATAACAATGAATGATAAAATAATACTGATAAAATGACCGAGGACGCACAACTCTTCGGCTTCTAATAAGGAGGTGTAAAAGACACACTCAGTCTTTGAGCCAATATAATGTATTGTCATTCAGTCTTCCTTATATAATTGCTTCCCCTTTTCATGATCTACTGAGAGACAAATGTATACTCGTACACATTACTTGTATAATGTTTTTCGTAAAGAAAACAATTTGTTATTGCAATAGAACAGAGCTGTGAGTGCACTCTATGGAAACACAGAAAAGTAGAGTTTGACAATACTCCCGTAGTATCTTTAACAGCATGTGGATAGAAAGAACAAAGTAGAATAGAGAAAAGTGTTATCCTTTCTCAAAGCTATCTATCATTCATCTTGTTGGCTTCAACAAATCTAAAACCTTGAGCTTTGGGGTAAATAAAAGGAACAATAAAGGGCAGTGTGGAGTATATTAATTATATCCTTCTGCAAACCTATCTTTCATCTTTTTTGTCTTCAGTACATGTAGGCCTATGTGTGTACTTGTAACCTCCTAGCTAGGGGGGGAAATAAATGGATTGACAGAACAAAATAAAACAAATAGTGTGGTTATTTATTCTCTCAAAAAGATATCATTCGTCTTTGTATCTTCAGCGTGCTCTCTTACCCTTACACCTTGAGGTTTCATGTCTCTAACCCAGGATCTCGGATCACTACACCTCGACAAGTGGGGGTAAATAGACTTATATTCCCTGCCCCCTCTCCACCCACACCATCACATGGTCGCTTTATTTCAAGTTTAAGCACAAGGGGGCTATCCCGAAAAATGCCGTTATGAGAAAATCGAAGGTAAAGTTTTTGCCCCTTGTTCAGTTTCTTTAAAAGACAAGAAGAGTTTTCTCTATAACCAAACAAATAGCCTATACACACCAATGAAACCAAACTTCTCCTATAGGTAGGGCAATGCCCACTTTTGGTGTAGGTCAAGATTTCTGGAAACTCCTGAAATCTGGATTAGCCCGCTTGTCCATAAAGACGACCACATGGTACAAACAACTGTCTCTCCAGTGGGATTGGCACTGGCATGTCACAACCTCCCTAGTGTTGAGGTGGTATGTTTTTATAAACTTATCTATCACATGTCATCTGTTCAGCTCTCTGTTGACAGAAGCTCTTCTTGATCAGTGAAAAAAACCCAGAGCCCTGAAATCTAACACTGTTGAATTAACGTCTAACTGGGCATTAAAGTTAAAGCTAAAGTTTTCCTCTCAGAACCATTTCTAAACAGATCAGGACCAGTGTGTCTGCATGCAGTGTAACAAACACCAGTGAGTATGTTCGCCATTTGCAAATTTTATACATGTGATACAAGATTTAAAAATTTAAGCAGCCGACAAGGCTCCCAATTGACTCAATCGTTCACTCGTGTACACCCATGATGGGTCAGTGTAGAGCATTATGTAGTGAAAAAGGCAAGATGACAGACAGAAATAGCAAACAAGAAAATGAAGAAGTAGGGCCTATATTATGCTACTTGTGGGACTCGAACAGCACTAGCGCCCATGTGCATGCATGCACACACACTCACACAACTCACACACGCGCACACAAACTCACAATTCGTGCGCACACACACACACACACACTCCCACACACATGTACACTCGCATAATTCACGCACACACACACTCAGCCACTGTCACAGACAGCCTAGTGTGTTGTTCACAACAAAGATCAAGCAATATTGGGGAGGACAGATGTTGGATGAGAATGTCCACTGGAAGGTGTTGTCCTTATTTCTTCTATTTCACAAGAAATTAATGTTCTCTGCAGGTGCACTGATGCGTCAGACATTGACGGATGATTCATTATTATCATCATCATTATTATTATTATTATTATCAAAATTGTTATCATTACTGTGTCATAAATCCAACTTTCTTTAGTGAACATCTATCAACCGGGTGTTTAGTCTAGCCATAATTTTCAAAAAAGAAGACGGTCGAACCTCTATGGTGTGCAACCCACTTTAAAAAAACCAACCTGTTTGTATCCAGTGAGGTGTCAAATGAAAAAATAAATTACAATGTCTTACCAAAAAATGGAACAAAGAATTCTTATGATATATGAACTTTTGATTAAATGACAATGATAGAGATACACATACCATACACATCATCCACCTTTACACACCTGCCACCAACACACGTACCTGAACACACGAGCAGTCACACTTGCACTTTTCACGACACACAATTTCAGCTGTGTATGTATAGTTGCATGTAACTCTCAAGCATAATATGGAGGGAATATGAGACTTAAAAAAACTAATACATGTATAAGAAAATAACAATACGAAGCATAAGCCACACACACACAGTCTAAAACACATCAGCACATGTAATAATACTGTATGGACATGAACTGAAAGATCATAGCATTACAAAAACATTTTTAGAATCTTACATCATACAAAAATTTATTTTGTAGCATGGACTAGCTCTATGTGGTTTTCAACACTATTAATACTATTATTACCGGTATACAAATAGAAACTTTCTCCCAATAGGGCTCATTATATACATGTAACAGTTTTGATTAAATTTTTTTCTTAAGAATAACATTTTGATAAAAAAAAATTTTTTTTAATAACCTCTTGTAGCTCTATAAATATATGTAAATGTGTTCATTCTGTGATCATCTAAACGATCAGAATAACCCCACTGTGGTATGATCAGAGTTGAAAAATTATTGCCTGGGTGTGTTACAATTCAATATACATGTATCATGATGTACCTAAAAGGTAAAAAGAACTTCAAGATCTATGTCACCCCTTTACCCCCACCAACACACAGGAGAAATAGACGTCTAGTCATAAACTGAATGTGTCTGACCCCCCTCCTCCAAAAAAAAGGTGAAAAAACCCCACTCCAGACTTACTTTTAATGTATCCTCAAAGCACATCCCCACCCCTCCCCCCAACTGGCCTGTCAATCAACAACACAAATATGACCATAAAACAAAATAAAAAGGCATAAAAATACAGATTCAGACTGGAACAGAACACACAATGAACTAAAAAAACATACCAACAAACAGACGAATAAACACACACTGCAACACATGTTCATGAACTCTAAGTCTGGAATTCGCTTGTGAAGAATAAACCATACTGGCGGCCCATCTTTGAAATGGTTGGAGGTATAGGATGCTGAAAGGCTTTTGCATAGGAGCCTGGGCCTGGCACTTTCTGTGAGAGCAGACAAAATACAATGACGTATCACACACGGTTCATGAACCCAGTCCCAACACACGGTTCATGAACCCAGTCCCAACACACGGTTCATGAACCCAGTCCCAACACACGGTTCACGAACCCAGTCCCAACACACGGTTCACGAACCCAGTCCCAACACACGGTTCATGAACCCAGTCCCAACACACGG